GGAGGGGTGACAGAAAAAAAGTTATGAATTCTGAAAATCAAGAAAACAATGCGGTACCCGGTATGAGGATTATTGTTAACTTTGTCTTAGTATATAAAGTTGTAAAGTAAACCTATTATAAGTAAGTAATAAAGTTAAACCAAATAACAATAAACATCAAAAACTAATATACAGTATTAGAAAAGAAGAAATATATAGCTAAGTGTGTGGAAACCCAAAAGTATTTTGACAAGTATGCTTCAGGACAAGTCACTCAGTAGCCCAGATCGACCTGTCCAGTACGCGTCACTCACTTCCTGAGGCTGCCTCTATTTCACACTGTCAGTTTATCTGTGAGCATCAGCCGAGGTAGACATAAGCTGGTATGTATGTGTACTGCCCTGTGCAGTATATAGTTAGTATTTACCCACTGTTACTGTGAATTTGTAGCTATTATTAATTTTATATATAATGTATGTGTGGTTCTTACGTTTTCAATGGTTTTGCTAGGATTAGCAGAGTATGCGAGGCTATATACGTTCACGTTTAGCCATATATATCAATAACAACATTTTGTGAAAGGGGTAACATGCTTTATGTGGCATGTTAAATTGGGTAACAAGCTGAAAAAGTTTGGGAACAACTGCGGCTTAAACTATTCCCCTCTAAATCAACGATCCGATAAAGGTATCCTCGTATGCCATAAGCCTGACCCCTGTCTACCTCAATGACCTCTGAAAACTATCCCAATAGCATAGCCTCCCTTACCTCATTGCATGCAAATATGACAATAGCGAGTACGGCATAATTATCTAATACAATGAAATACGTATCAGCATTTATGATTTCAAGCACATTAAGTTTGAAGCTCATCAAACGTTGTACTTTTAAATTATTTTTTTGATGGTTGGCAGCCGATCAGATGAGGTTTCAAAATTTATCTCATGAAAACTAGTTTTAATGTTTTCTTCAGTTTCCTCAATAAAATTGATAAATTGTCTTCTAAATAGCCCAGAAACAATTAAATCTTACTCAGTGAGGGATACAGCAGTTTTTATGGTTTGCAGCAGATCACCTCAAAGGCATTTTTTCATTTTTTATCGCATTTAAACCAACGAGTTTAATAAAACTGGTAAAAAAATTTAACCCAAAAATCAATGCAAGGCTTCTCTTAAGGGGCATACTTATTTTATATCTCAGAAAGACTACCAAATAATTTAAAAAATGGTAAATTGGTAGCTACACACTTCAAAAACAGTAATAATTGTTTTCAAAAATGGACTTTGTTAAAAGTATGTTACTAATCAATAAAGAATTTCTCAAGCTATTACACAGATACCAAAACTCAAAATCTTCTGCTTGAAATTGACTAAGACCTTCTCTCTAGCCCGATCATCTTTTCCTAGTTGGGGTACCCTCGTTTAAAGTTTAAAAACCGATCAATGAGGTTCAAGTTAAAAACCCAAAAATTTTTTGAGGGAAAAAAAAAAAGAACCTCCCAAAACTTTTTAAAAGGGAAACCTTTCGGAGATTCCAAAAATTGTACAAAAAGCGAAAATTTTAAAAATACATTCTTAGTAGCCAATTGAGATTATAAAAAAATTCCCTAAGGATTAAAAAAACCCTTTGGGGAATCTTATTTGGCCATTGTTTTTTAAGCCCTGGGAATCTATTATCAGGCTGTTTTTCCAAAAACACCGAATAATTAAAAGCTTTTATTACAGATTTTTAGCACAATGCCAGTGTTTTAAAAAAAGACCTTTGTGGGGTGGTACCTGTAAAACCATTGTTAGTCACACTTGTGGCTGAAAACATCTCATACTATTAAATGATCCTCCATAACAGGACTAAGCGCGGGCTGGAAACCCTGGAACACCAATAACAACTTTATTTCTGCACTCCAAAAGAAACATATAGATAAAAAAAGTCCCGGACAATAATACCTTTTTCACTCACTTTTTTAGTTTTTTGTGGTTCAAAAAAAACATTTTCTGAAAAAAAATATCATAATTTTTTTAATTTTTTTATTTTTGTCGCAATTTTAAAGATAAAAATTCTTTCTAACATTAATTTTTATTTAAAACCCAAAAATTTAATCTTTGGGGAATTACTCTTACCTAGGGAAATAAAGTTATGTTTTTCCTACAGTTACCAGCCTTCGTCACCACCTTTCGAGCTCCTGCCTGCGGTACTGTTGATTCCACTGTTATTATATTTTCTTACACCCTTTTTCTACTCATGGGCCGGGTATTTTCCAAAAAATACAACAAGTATTGATGCAAATCAAGAAAATTTATCATGGGATGTTTAATTATTCTCTTTTTGTTTTAATAATGGAATTAAACTATACTACTACACAAGGTCATTTAAGCACATGTAACTGTCATCGATACTTTTTTCCCTATGTATGTTTTATCGTACTTTACACTAGCTCACTTCTAGTCTTTCTCCCTTAGGGGAAGGCTGCAGCCCCTTTTCCCCTGAGTCTACAAAACCCTTTTTTTTTTGATCTTATCCCTTTTTCCAAAATTTTAAATCTTTCATTTTCTAGCTAAATCAAATAACTTTTTGTGAAAACCAAAATTTTTTTGTTATCCAAAGCATTTGCACATTCCTTGTCTTTATCGACTTTTATTTTACTCCTAATTTTACATTATCCTGAAAGGGTCCCTCTGACTCATTTTTTTAAGGGATGTTATTCCCAAACCGAAAGAGCACTGGTTTCCAAAACCTATCCTTGAGAAACCCCGCTTGTTACTCATACTCATTCTGATATCTCTTCTTCTCAAAGAATCGCTTTTTATCTCCTTCCCCACTGGAGTACATTCCTTGTTATTTCATTCTGCTCCTTAAGTTTAAGCTCCACTCTCTTGTGAAATACAGAATCAGTTGCAGTCTTACACTTTGTACGAGTGCGTGTGTGTGCGTATTATCCTATACGTACTCACTTACATGTGGTTGCAAGGATCATGTCTCAGATCCTGGTCCCGCTTCATCGCTGGTTGTATTAGATTCACCCTCTCCTTGTCTCGAGAGTCTTATCATACCTCTTCTTAAAGCAGCGTATGGATCCTGTCTCCTACCACTTCATTCTTCATGTCGTTCCACTTCTTGGCCGCTCTAAGGCTGATGAAATATTTCCTAACATCTCTGTGACTCATGTGCACTGCCTCCTTCAAGCGGTACCCTCGTGTTCCTGTTGCCCGTCTCTCAAACTAACTATCCTTGTCCACCCTATCAATTCATCTCAGTATTTTGAACGTTGTTAACCTACCATCCCTAGTCCTTCTATCCTTAAGTGCCATTAAGCAAACCTCTTCACTTTTTCCCATTTCTTGATGTGCTTGACCAGGTTTGGATTCCTTACTGGTACTTCATACTCCATTATGAGCCTGACATTCACTTTATACGGTGTTGTGAATGACTCCTTCTTACATTCCTAAAAGCTAGTCTTCCTGTAGATTTGTCACATGCGCAGTTACTGCAGCAGTTATTTGTTAGACATGCATCTCATATGATATGCTTGGAACAATACTCACCCCAAGATCCTTCTCCTAGAGTGAGGTTTACAGTCTTTGCCCACCTGAACCCGAGCCAGCATTTCCTCTGCAGTTTTCTTTACCCTTCCCAAACTTCATTGCTCTGCGCTGGCTGAGATTAAATTCCATTAGCCACGTGTAACACGAGACCTGCATCCTGTCCAGATTCATTTGGAGAATTTCCTGGTCTTCATCTACTTGTATTCTCCTCATAAGTTTCACATCATTTGCGAACAGGGATACCTCTGAATGTCGCTTCAGTCCTGTATTTCACATATACAAGAAATAGTACTGATATTTGTGAAACCCCACGCGTCACATGCACCCATTACAGCACCGCTGCACGGAAAATCACTCGTTGTTTCTTTCCTGTTAAAAATGCCTTGAATTATTTTATTGCTTATGCTGTTATTCCTGCGTGTTTTTCTATCTTTTGTATCAGTCCCTTCTGTGGTCCTGTGTCAAAAGCCTTTCTACAGTCCAAGAAGATGCAGCCTACCCATCCCTCACTCTCCTACCTAACTTCTGTTACCGTGTTGTAGAATTACTATATTTACCATCTGTCTGTCTCCTCTCTATATCATTGGGAGTTATTTGCTGTCCTCCACATTTCTGGCAGTTGAACATTGCCAATAGAGTTGTTGAAGATTGTTTCTAATGGAACCATCTAAGGACTCAAGGAAGATATTATCGTCACACTGCCTTCGCAGTATATCTCACATAACATTTTCCTCAATTGTACAATAGTTAATATAAATATTTTTTAGGCCTCTGTCATATGGTCAAAAGCTCCAGTGGCGGGTCATTATATCACTAAGACCCGCGTTAGGAAATGCCTGTACTGTTTCCTGATAATTCTTACCTGAACCAACATCAGTTATATGCATTATGTTCAGCACTTGCTGGTGCACTTTGCTACTTCGATTTGCTAGTAGTCTTTCTGTCTTCTCTAAAAATGCCTCCCTAAATTTCTTACTGAACTCCTTGCAGATTTCTTGGCTCTTCGCCTCAATTCCTTGTTTTCCTTAGTTCTTTGCCTTCTATTTTGTTTATACTTTAGAATATTTAGCTATGGCCGATGGACCGCTGAGTAACCATGGGATCATTTTGTTCTTCACATTGCTTCTTTTGATCCTGGGTAAGAATTTCTCCACTTCTTCCTTACACTTTACGGCCACATACTACATTATCTCATTCACTGTCTTTCCCTCTAGTTTTCTTTCTCACTGCATCTTATTCAGGAGTTGTCTGATGTCTCTGTAAACCCCTCCACGTTTACCTCCACAAGCAACTCAGGACCATACGGATTCTAGCAACAAAGGGCATTTCAGATGTAATATCGCCCTATGTCAAAACGACTCAGGGTTAATACAAGGTCCAGCCTTGCTGGTTCATCTTTTCCTTTCTCACTGGATGTTTTTAATAGGTTGTTGCATGAAGTTCTCCATTACCACCTCTCAGTAAATTGGAATGAATTGGGGCATGGCTGCCTGGGGGGCTGGGGTAAGAGGCATTTGAGAGGAAGATACATGCATTGTGCAGAGGGGACTGTGGTTGTAGGAAGGGGGTTTTGGGGTGAGATATACTTGTATTGGAGGGAGAGGGTGGGCTGGGTCTTCAGGAGAGGAGTCTGTGTGTGGGTGTGTCCGACATTCCCCCGGAGACTGAACTTCCATATCTGTCTCTCCTGCCCACCTCTAGTCCTAGTACTGTCTTTCAGTGTTTCTGCTACTTTCTTATCCTGTCCTTGTCCAGGTACATCCAGAAGTATTTTCTGTCTGATTTAATTATCTGTAGTTTGACTAGTATAGAAAAAAAAGTTAAGAGAGGAAGAAGAACAGAGGGAAGATGCAAGAAAAGGGTTTCATAATCTTTTATACTAATAGTCGTAGATGTAGGAACAAAATTTACTAGCAAATTTTGATTACATGCAAATTAAATAGAAATAATAGCACTTACTGAAACATGATTTGATTTAATTAATTTAAACATGCCTGCCGAATGCAGTGTATAAGGTTGAAAATTATTCATAAAGATTTACACAATACTAAAGTGTATGGAGTAGCCCCATAAATCGAATTTACATGGAGGCAAATTCCTGAGGAAAATAAATATTTTATTAGAGGCGTTCATTACAGACCATTAAACATAGAAGTAAAAAAAGGGAGATTTCCCTGGGACGAAATTCTAAAAGTCTCTAAACTTCATGAAAAGGTAATAATTACAGGAAATTTAATTTTAACTAATATTGCTGGAATTCCTTGATCAGGATTCATGAGTCAAGCGACTTCCTTGAGGTAGTCCAGACAATAACCTGCTTGATTTGGATCTGGCAGATTCAAAGATTTTTGTAAACAGTTTGATGATTTCGGAAAAGTGTGATGCAAGTAATAATAATAATATAATATCTTTATTTTACTACAAGTACATGTACAGGGTATACAGTCCTAGCTGATTACAATGACATATTACTATATAGAAAGTCCCTTGTTATGCTCCGGAGGCATTTCGGGCAAATTAGGTCAGTGTCCCAGGATGCGACCCACACCAGTCGACTAACACCCAGGTACCCATTTTACTGATGGGGAACATAGACAACAGGTGGAAAGAAACACGTCCAATGTTTCTACTCTGGCTGGGAATCGAACCCAGGCCCTCACCGTGTGAAGCGAGAGCGTTAACCACCAGGTCACCATTTAACATTGAATTTAATACAACAGTAAGGACAATACTGACAACACCTGTCATGTGTTGACTGAGGTAATGAACAGAATTATCAATACGATATGTTTCTAAATACTAGCAAAGAACATATATTATCTTTAGAAAATTAAAATCGAATAAAAATGGTCCAAAATAGATGAACGATAATTTAAAACATCTGGGAATAAAGAAAAGAATTTAATGGCTTATCAATGAAGAAGAGAGTGAGTCTCCTCGTAAACCAATATTTTTATATTAAAAAAGGATCAAAAAGGGATAAGGAAAGATAAACGAGACTATGAAATTAAAATTATAAAGGAATAAAAGACAAATATGAAAGGTTATTTTCCAGTTATATTGAACAATTATTAGAGAAAATTGAAGTCAACTGAACACTAATTCTGGGAAGATAATCGACAATGAAAAATAAATGAAACAGATTTTCACATTGTATTATTTCGCTCATAATTCAGGAAGATAAATGACATCCCATGTCTGTACTAGACCGATAAAGCCCTTGATGGGCGAAACGTCTTTTATATAAAGATACCCATGTGGTACACATGTGTATAATGTAGGTAGCCTCAACTTTAAAATTTTCCTCTCTTCTGTTTATTCTCTCTCTCTCTCTCTCTCTTTCTCTCTCTCTCACTCTCTCCTCCTTCTCTCTCTCTCTCTCTCACTCTCTCTCTCTCTCTCTCTCTCTCTTCCTCCTCTCTCTCTTCTCACTCTCTCTCTCTCCTTCTCTCCTCTCTCTCACTCTCCTCCCTCTCTCTCCTTCTCTCCTTCTCCTCTCTCTCTCTCCTCTCTCTTCTCTCTCTCTCTCTCTCTCCTCTCCTCTCTCTCTCCTCTCTCTCTCTCTCTCTCTTCTCTCTCTCTCTTCACTCTCTCATCTCTCTCTCTCTCTCATCCGTTAAGCATTTATGTTGTCATACATTATCTGGACACTTGAGGAACTGATTACCTCAACTCCTCCTCCCCTTACACCTTTCTGCTTTGTATTGAACTGATGAAGCCACTGTATGGCGATACGTTTCCTTAATAAAGATTCCCATAATATTGCATAAGTGCCTCAATCTTCAATGCAGTAAATGCTGATACCAGTATTAGCAAACTTGAGAAAGCTTACATAGTTGAACATATCATAAACATTACTTTCCCGCCGTGATGTTCATTAAAATTCTTTGTACGATTTCTGAAATCTAACATATATTCGTATTATTTACATATTTCTTTGTGATACGTCTCCCCAGGGTGCAAGCAATATTTTTGGATCATTCTTCGGCTGTGCTCCCATAGCTGTGTCACTCGCTCGGTCACTGATTCAGGAAGCTGCAGGTTGTATGACGCAGTTAACTTCACTAATCTGCTGTTTTGTGTTGGTGTTTGTCTTGCTGTTTCTTGGACCCTTGTTTGAGACTCTCCCTAATGTGAGTATACTGTTTTATTTATTTCAAAAATATATATAATGAATTTCTCCTAATTTTTCCATTTATATAATTTAAAGAGAATTTATTGCAACTCAGTTATTTCTAAGTGTATTAATAAATACCAAATGCCATAAATATATTGATAACCTTTGAGTTTTATACTTATAAAATCATTATATTATTATTTTACTTTTCTTTTGTATTTTGGTAGCTATGTGACCAAGATGCATTTTTAACCTCAGAAGAAGAAAGTCCTTTAACATTCGTTGAATGGTAACCCATTTTAAATTTTCAATGCTGGCGCACTCTTTCTAGGGAAAGGTTCCTGTAAATATTGGAACAGGCGAGAGTTCTCTGGTCACTTTTATATGTAGATCATCCCGGATTCATTTTCAATTCAATAAAAAAAATGAACACATTTAAATGATCAAAAACCTCTACTTTATCACCTTTAGAAAGCCCATGCAATTCAACAGCTTTTTGAGGTATAAGGGAGGTAGGTCAACACATAAGATGGATATTAGTTATAACTTAATTCCCTAAAAATGTCAAGAAGATTGAAAAGTTCATAGGACATTCGAAGGACATCCATAGGACTTTCGAAGTTTCTAAGCCTTCGAATGTCCTATGAATGTCCAATGAGCTCCTTGGATATAAATATACTCACTTCAAGACATGTTTAATGGAACCGTTATGATCTTGGGATCTTGACCACTTCACCTACTCATAGGGAAATAAAACATAAGTTTACACAGTACAGTTAAGAAAAGTCCTAATTATAAGCGAGGAATGACTACTGTGTACTGCACTCTGCGGGCTGATGCTTGATTGACCAACACCTGCACCAGCCTGGCTACGGTTCTGTGACCTCTTGCTTTCCATGTGACTTTATTTATGGTAAAGAGCAAAGTTTTTAAACACTGGCAGTAGTAGAGATTTGGTAATGCTTTGGTCCAGTCCCCTGAATATCTTTTGCGTTCCAGTGGATCACGCACACGTTATTAAGATCGCCCCAAGCACGTCGACAACAAGATGTAGACCATGTAATGTTGTAATCCTGTGAGGGAAAAGTTCAATAGATAGGAGTAGCGATATAGTAACAGTAGTTTCATTGCCGGCTACTAGTTAAGGTAGGGTAAGTCAAGCTCCCGTTTTTCCCGCCTTTTTTCCCCCTCCCTGAAAGTGATAGTTTGACTGCCGGCTGCTTGTTAAGGTAGGGTCAGTCTAGCTCCCGCTATCCCTTCCCCTCCCTCTTCCCCCCCCCCCCGAAAGGTGACGTGTGGGGCTCTGGTCAAACAGTAAATCACTCGACTCACAGCTCCCAACACTACTGTAAGTACATGCCTGCCTTGTATTCTAGTGGATTTATTGGTTAAAATAATAAACTTAGTCCTTTCAGTCTTGCTCTAGGTTGACTGTTGTAATAATCACCACGTCTTTTGAGTATTGTACACTGCCATGGAGAGTGATTATTTAAGCAGTGGGTAACCTGTCTATCTTTTCAGCTTGGATGACAGAGAGGGTCACCTGTCAATCAACGAGAGGAACAGGAGAAGGACTAACGTCCAGAGACTTCCCCATTTTGCATTTAAGTACCTGTGCACCTGTATGAAATTGCAGGACGTAACCCCACATCATTGCAGCGGTAAAGAACCTGCTTTCCTGTCATCGGGATACTACTCACTTGTATACTGTGAAGAACTAGCGAGTGGATGGTCACCAACACCTGCGACCCCCCCCCCCACCCCATCATCAGCAACGGCTACGATTTCAACAACAGTGTCACCAACACCAGACACCCCTGTAGATATTAGCGTTGAGTTCAAATGTTATTTTATTCATTTCATTTTTCATTTTTCTTTCAAATAGGATATACCTTTCATGTTTTATTGTTTTATGTTTGTTTTAATAAATAAAGTGTTTATCTTTGTGAATTATTATTTCTTTTTCTATTCATTAATTTTCCTGAGGAGGAGCCAGCCTGAGTAATACTGTCTGAACTTGTTACAGGGCTGAGTAATCCTTCACAAGTGGCGACCTTGCCAGGATCAACTCTACTGAATCAAGATTCAACTCCATCTCGAATCTACCATTGGAACTTCAACGCCGCATACCACAGGCGGTTACCACCAGCCATGAGTAATCATTCTCTATGTTAGGACTATGGTACAGGTATTTAAAAGATTTGGTGATTGTTATAGTCTCAATTTATTGTAAGTCAAGTCAGGCAGGATATAATAGTTAATTCTGCCACTTTTTCATTTGAGCTTGAAACACTTTGGAGGATTAGACTCTAGGGACCCGAGATTTTCCAGTGACAACTTGTTTCATTGAGCTCTTTATTATATCAAGGGAACTGTCATAGGACACTCTTGATTTGTTGGTGAGAAGATTGGATGGTCAAATGACCCCATTCTACTTACTGTTTGCTCGGAGCCGGCATAGAACCCTTCGTTTTCGTTAAATACATATTGTTTAATTGAAGCAGGGATCGAGCCCTCTGGTTTATTTACAGTTTGAGCGGAGCAGGAATTGAACCCTCCGTTTTCTTTAATACCCATTTCATTTCCCCTGATAGTTTAAGTTATTCTTGCAAGTATGGATGAACGCTGGAAGTAAGTTAGGAATAACAGGGAAAAATTTAGAATCTTTCATTAGTGCTAAGATCCAGGAAAGACTTGAAAGAGAGAGAATTGAGAGAGAAGAAAGACAGTTAGAAAGGGAAAGAGAAGAGAATAAGGAGAGAGAGAGAATTGAAAGAGAAGAGAAAAAGAAGAGAGAGAGAACTGAGAGAGAAATCCGAGAAAGACAGTTAGAAAGAGAGCGAGAAGACCAAAAAGAGCATGATAGACTTGATCGTGAGGAAAGAGCTCGGGAAACGTGAGGAACAAGCTAAGATACGTGAAAAAACAAGTTAAATTAAGAGAACTTGAGGAAAGAGAAAAGGATCGCGAGCTCGAAAAATCTCGCCTTGAATTAGGGAATAAAAAGTTAACTTTTACACAACAACAATTAGAGAAAGGAGTAATGGAACAACGTGCAGCTAGTACACATATTCCAACACCTAATTTACCTCCCTTCACAGAGGGGGAAGACATAACTTCTTACATTATCAGGTTTGAAAATACCACTACCCTCTGTGAATGGCCTGCTGACACCTGGGCTACCAGGTTAGGAATGTTATTTTCTGGTACAGCCTTAAATATCTATGCAACTTTATCGCAGGATATCATATGTAATTATAACCTACTGAAAAAGGCAATCGTTAAAGCATATCAAAAAACCACTAATTCTTACAGGAAAGATTTCAGGTATGCCACCTTACAGCCTGGCCAGAACTTTCAGCAGTTACAGGTAACACTCTTTCGTTTGTTCGACTTTTGGATAGAGAGTTCAGGAATTGATCACAGTTATGAATCTCTTCGAGACTTCATGGTTGCTGACCAGTTCCTGACAGCTCTTCCTCACCAGATACGAACATTCATTAGAGAACGTAACCTGATTAAAGCTGAGGAAGTTGCTGAGGCTGCTGACATGTATGCTGAGGCTCACAATTCCTATAAAGACCTAAAGGGATCGAACCCTAAGGGCAAGGGTTCATCAGACCTTAAGAAATCAAAGCCTCTAGTGGAAAGTAAAATGACTTCTTTTATTCCTGTTTGTCATTTGTGTGGTGTTAAGGGACATAAACGTCCAGATTGTCCTAAGAAGGTCCAAAAAGTTGGAAGATGTTTTAAAGACTGTAATGACCAAGCACCCTTCTGTTCAGGAACAGTTAATGGACTTAATGTATCTACCATTTTACGAGACACTGGATGCACATGTATAGTAATTTCTGATAAGGTGTTCCCTAATCTTAAAGAAACTCATTCCTCTGCTATACTTTCAGACTACTTGGCCATACAGACACTTTTCCTACCATCCGTTGTTACATTAGGTCTAAATGGTTCACAGGTTGGTCTGAAGCCGTACTAGCTCCCATCACTTCTTGCTCCGTACTAATAGGTAATGTTAAAGGTGCCATTCTTCCTTCTGAGGTTGACCTTTCATCACCAAAGATGGATATAAGTGTTTCAGATCCTCTTCTTGTAGAGTCGGAGAAGCCCCTCGAAAGTTCAGATGAGACAATGTCTCGTGAGATTCATGTGGGATTAAAAACCAGTGATGCTACTCTCGAAAGCGAGGTAGTAGGATCACCGGTTCACTTGTTAGATGAAAGTGAAGGTATCACCTCCAATACCATAAATGTCTTGACTAGGGCTCAGACCAAAGCCCATGCTTCCCCTACTGTCCATCCTTTGATTTTCCCTGACTTTAAGCCTTTAGATATATCGAAGGACTCCTTTGTCAATTTACAACGTAATTGCCCTTCTCTTCAGAATTGACATAATGCCGCTAAACAAAATCAAGTGATCCAAAGGAAAAACTTTTCATATAAATTTGAATATATAAAAGGTATCTTGTACAAGTCAGTATTCAAATTAAATTCAGATGAGACAGACTATTCCATCTTAGTTGTTCCAAGTCAATGCAGAGAGACTGTTCTTAAAATGGCTCATGACTCACCAGTGGCCGGACATTTCTCGCATCGTAAAACTTTAAATAAAATTAGGGAAACCTATTTTTGGCCTAAAATGTCCTCAGATGTCACTACTTATTGTAGATCGTGTAAAGTTTGCCAACTGTCATCCTCCCGAGGTACCAGGCGAGTACCTATGGTCAAAATGCCTATCTTTACGGTACCGTTTGAAAGAGTAGCTATTGACATTGTTGGTCCTTTATCTCCACTTTCATCTGGGGGACATAGATATATATTAACATTAGTTGATTATGCTTCGAGTTTCCCTGAAGCCGTTCCCTTAAAGACCATAACTACTACAGAGGTGGCTGAAGCCCTTTTGTCCATCTTCTCCAGAGTGGGCATCCCTAGAGAAATTTTGTCTGACCGTGGGACACAATTCACATCTGACTTAATGCAACATCTATACCAACTTCTGGGA